GAGAAGCAGACTCCCCGCCGAGCAGGGAGCCCGATGCGGGACTCGATCCCGTGACTCCAGGATCATGACCTGAGTCGAAGGCAGTCGCTTAACCAACTGAGCCACCCAGGCGCCCTCAAAAATTTTTTAAATGAGCAGTTAAAAAATGTTGATAATCCCTCTTATGAGGGGTCACAGAGATCATACCCAGCCGTGAAAATACAATAATCTGTGTGATGTTTCTGCCTAGGAAAGCCCATGAGAGACTAAGTGCCTAAGATTTTTTTGGGTGCTGGTCACATACCCTCTGCCTTGATATACACTAAAATTTTAGTCCCAGAGGGAAAGGAGGTGTTAATGCTAAATGATACTGTTGTACAAAACAGCCCAGGCACAATGAGCCACCCTCATCAGTTAGGGAAAGTTTTTATCGGTGAAGGAAACTGTTTACCAGTCTAGTTCCAAATTTCAGACAGGGTCCAACACTGCAAGCAGGACTTTCTAAGGATGGCAGTCTCTGCTATATTAATTCCTTTTTGGCATAGTCCACCCCCTTGGCCCTTGGCCACCATCTCTTTACAGTAAAATTATCAGTAGGACCCTAGGCAGCAGGGTGAGACCAACTTGTACTATTGAGGGGGTCCTAGACTTAGCTAGTTAAAACAAATCCCATTAACCGTAAAGGCCTGTCATAAAAAGCCATGTGGATTTGCCCTTAAGTTTTTGTATTAACTGGCTTAGGCATCATTTCAGCACAGCACAACTCTGGCCAGTCCAGGGCTTAGGTAGTGTCATGTTAGGGTGCACACACAAGAACTACAGTTCTAGAAGGCATACGTGCTATCCTTGGAAACGAAGAGTTTATGATTGTTAGGATACCCCTGGTCATGATGTACAGTATTAAGCAGAACAAGTTAACAGGGCCCCAACGTGACCTTCCACCAGGGGTACCTCCCACCCTCTGCTCCCAGTCAGTTTGAATAATTTAGAGTCAGTGGGACTCAGGGACTGCCTAAAGGCAGTCAGTTAAATGGTTTTACTTATCTGTGATACCAATTTATTTGCCTCAAGAGCATGATGACATCTAGAGGTGTGCTGTGGAATATGCAGGAGCTAGGGCCACTCCCTGTTTTTCATAGTCTGTCAGTTATGATGGGAGGCTCAGCAGTCAGGTTGAATTTGAAGTACTCACAGCAGCCTTCAAGACAACATGGATTTTTTTTTTCCCCCTAAGAAAAACAGTTCTGAAAAACAAAGATCATTAGGGGCGCCTGGGTGGCTCAGATGGTTAAGCGTCTGCCTTTGGCTCAGGTCATGATCCCAGAGTCCTGGGATGGAGTCCCGCATTGGGCTCCCTGCTAGGCGGGGAGCCTGCTTCTCTCCCTCTGCCTCTGCCTCTCTCTCTCTCTCTCTGACTTTCATGAATAAATAAATAAATAAATTAAAAAAAAAAACAAAGATCATTAATGCCGTCCCCACTCCTCCACACTTCCCAAGGGTCTGGGTTTTTTGTTTTTTTTTTTTTTCTCCCTTATTCTGAAATCATAGGTCTCATTTAGTAATTATAACTTCGGAGTTTTTCAGTCATGTTTTTTATCTTCATTTAGACCTTTTGTACAGAAGGGTTGGGTGCAAGGACAAAAGAATTTTCACACAAAACCATTTTCATACAACTTAACCAGAACAGTTAGTCAGGAAGTTGATCAGGACAAAAATCCCAGTTAAAAATTTTTTTTCAAAAGGTTTAAAAACCTCTTAACTCTTTTATCCTAATCATTTATCTAGTGAGCAGCCTAGAAAAGATCAATCTCTTTCTGGAAGAAATTCTTTTAATAAAAGGCCTTACTTAGATGTGTCTATCAGAAGAAAGATGAGACATGGAGAGTCAAGCTATCAGTCTGTTGTTGCAACCTGCAAGTAATCCAAAAAGCTGAACATAATATAAGCCAACAGTAGTGGGATGTCCCCAAGAAGAGGTTGCAGGTCCAATCGATTAAGAGTGGATGGCAAGGTCATACTCCCTGTGGTATGCCTTCCTCCAACTACATCATTAGAGGAGTGAAATCAGTTTCTGTGTCAGAAGTATGGAGCCAGTTAGCTCAAATTTAGATGGTTCCATCAAAGAACAAGCCCTTTCCTAGGGGCATCTGCAAGTGACCCAGACAGTCCAGCCAGAATCTATGAGGTTTTCAGAGTTTGTGGCCCCACAGAGGAGTCCTAAATCTGCAACACTCCCAAAATTTGAGTTTTGTTCTTTGGGCCAGTTCCTGCTTTTGAATTGAGCACAGCTCATGTTGGGTTGAAATAGCCCATGGCAGACAGTATCACGTTTTAGCTTGGAGTCAGGTCCAAGCAATTAGAATCTATAAATTCAGGATTCTGAAAAGCTGACAACTTTTTTGGCATCAATGAAGCCTAGAGGTTGTCAGACCAAACTGCTGTGTTTCAAATCCAAGTGACAAGCAAGGCTTTTCTAGGCTCTTTTTGCCTTGTCAGTCTCTGAGTCCAAATTTAGCCAGTCAAAAATATGCACTTTAGGCTAGAAAATCATTAGCCTCTAAAAGTCAGACATCAGATTTTACTGATGAACTGAATGGCAAGTGAAAACTACTTTTTAAAACTCTGAAAATATATCTGTGTATCTCTGGAGATTATCACTCTTTATATATTGTCTCCCTTTTTTCAGAGGCTCCAGTAAGCAAAAATCATAGCAAAAAATCATCAGTTATGGAAGCTTATTTTGTTTCTGATACTCAAAAGAGATAAAATTTACCCTCTGGTGGCAAAAAACAAGGAAGTTGTGTCTCCCTAACAATTTTTCCTTTGTAGCTTTCACTGATCAGGATGATCCCTTAGCATTTATGAAGTTACAAGCCTGTAATATTTTACATCAGTTTTATTACACATCTAGATGAAATAGCCACAAAAAAAAGCTTTTTTTTTTTTAAATTTAAAATTTGGGGCACCTGGGTGGCTCAGTCGTTAAGCATCTGCCTTCGGCTCAGGTCATGATCCCAGGGTCCTGGGATTGAGCCTCGCATCGGGCTCCCTGCTCGGCAGGAAGCCTGCTTCTCCCTCCACTCCCCCTACTTGTGTTCCCTCTCTCGCCGTCTCTCTGTCAAAAAAATAAATAAAAATCTTTAAAAATTTAAAACTATTCCCCTTCAGATTTCAAGTTTACTCAAGGTCTTAGAGTGAATTTAGGGTAATTAGTTGGGTCAGGGGCACTGCTACAGCAGTGGAAGCATCTAGGCTAAAGAAAATAACTGGAGAGGTCTTTTCTTTTTTCTTTTCTTTTCTTTCTTTCTCTTTTCTCCTTTTCTTTTCTTTTCAGCTTTGTTCCAGCTCTGGGAACTGATTTAACTTTTTTCCCTCTTACTTGGAGGAAAGAGGAACACACACTTCTAATATTTTTGGTCTACCCAGAACTCACCTTTGGGGAAATTTGAACTTTTTGCCCTCCCACCCAGAGGAGAGACAACTGCAAATTAATTTGTATTCTTTGGCCCATCCAAAGCCCATTTGTAGGGATGTTTGGGGCCCATTGTTTTCCCTCCCACAAGAAGAGAACATCACAAATTTTACCCTGACTGCTCTCTTTTTTCTCACTTTAACCAGGCCAAAAGCAGTCATGGGAGCCAGTGAGCTAACTCTTCTATGGTTGGATCTATTATTTTTGAGTTCCATAGGTAACTTTACCTCTCCCAACAGATAGCAATTCACTTGCTGTTTCATAACACGTGTTAACTCCATAGCCACCAGACACCAGCGTTTTGTCTTTACCACTTCTCTCTCTCTCTCCTCCAAATAGCACTGTAATTATATTTTAATGAGTCAGTTCTAATGAATCTTCTTGTTGCCACCACTGTGTCAAGGGTCCCCAAGATGACCCCTATATTCAAAGATTTGGTAGAAGAATTCATAGGACTCAGCATATAGTTTTACTTATGACTAAGGTTTATTGTAACCATCCAGTAAGGACTTAAAGCTGGGTAAAAGAGGAAAAGACCAAGGTGGAATCTGGAGGAATCAGTGTGTGTGCTTCTTTGTGTTCTCTCCTTCCCATGAGGGCTCACATGGAATATGCTCTTTTCCCAGCAACCAAGTGCAGCAGCATGTATGCAGTGTGTTAGGGAAGCCCATTAGAGACTTAGCACCCACAGTTTTTTACCAGGGGCTCATTATGAAGGTGTACTCTGCCTCACATGTACCAAAATTCCAGACTCCCAGGAGGAAAGCAGGTATTCAGCATAAACCGTACTGTTCAAACACTGAATGCCTGGTGAGCTACTCTTATCACTTAGGGAAAGTTTGGTATCAGTGTAGGAAACTGTTTACCAGTTGAATTCC